ACTACTATATTATATATACTATATATATTATTATATATTAAATTAAATACTACTATTTTAATTTACTTATTACTACATACAAATAACTATATATAGTGTGTGTGTGTGTGTGTGTGTGTGTGTGTGTGTGTGTGTGTGTGTGTGTGTGTGTGTGTGTGTTGCAAACCTTCACAAACTTCTCACAACTAAGCTAGAAATCATTCGTTTAGCCTCCTCTCAAGGGCCCGAGACAACAGTCTCCACTTGTTTCAATGTGCCCGAGTACAAGATTCGCTATAAACAACTGTAGTAAAACTCTTTTGAAAAAATAAATTGTGAAATACAATTGGATTCAAATGTACAAATACATATACAAAAAAGTAGTTAGAGATAATTAGGAGTATTTAAGCATAAAAGTAAGAAACTATGATGTTGGACATACCTGGTCCAATCACCTTCACATCTAGATCACCTTGACCTGCACCTTCAGTAAACACCTTAAAGTCTGCAATATCACGTACACGAATACCTCGAGGTTGGATGCCTCTTCCCGATACACGAACTTTCCTTGCATCACAAACTACAATCATAATTTTTTAAACAGATCAGAACGGAACAGATTTACAACAAGATGTTAAGGAAAATATTATTTTTAAAAGAACTCATTCAAAGATGATTTGATATCTTCATGAATGGTCTGTTATAAAATCTTAATCGTTGTTTACAGTTGTTTTTAAATTAAAAATTAAACCCCGGTATTACAAGTATTAAAGCTCGACTTTTTTCAATCAATTAGCGCATCCAAGTTAGATGTAATGAGTGATACAAGTTATTCACAAACATTATTTCAATTTTTAAGTAAGTGAATGAATAAAAAACAAATGTTCAAAATCTGTTAGTCTATAGTACCAACCAGTAAACATTGAAGAACAACAAATACTTTTTAAGCCTTAAATAGAAAATTTTTTAGGTTTGTTTTGGACTTTACAAATTTTACATGTTAGTGAACCAGTAATTTGTTATTACTTATTTACAACTCTTGTCATTAGCTAAATAATGATATTTGAATGGAATAACCTTATTTTCGTTTGTGGTTACAAAACTTGTTCACAAATATCACTCGCATAATTTAGTTAGTTATTTAAGAGAGATGGTGTAAGTTAGTTTGTGAAACGAGATCATAATTTTTAGTTTGAAGATGTTTTTTCTTCACACTACTAGTCTTTTTTTATTTAAGTTAACACTTGTGCGAGATTCAAATGCATCTTCTGTTCCATTATCATTTTTATAGAATCAAATCTCCAAAGCTGCTGAATTAAAAGAAACTTCTTTTTTCCAGTTTATTTCTAGACAGGAAAGAACTTTTTACCTGGTGACACTTTGACTCCAAAGGGACTATTGGGAATTAGCTGACCAGCAAAGAAGATGTTGACGGATAGAAGACCAACTGTCTGACAGACGTACTCACAACGATAAACATCTTCATCAATCTTCCTTACTCTCCACGGAACAGTTGTCCTGTCACCTCTCTGATCTAGAATGATGACCTCTACCTGCCCTCTACCCGCATCTAGGGAGATAAGGTAGTAAAATATTGTGTAAAGTTGCAAACCATAACCATGTAAATAGAGACTTAAAAATTAACCTTAAACGAGTAATATATATAAAAAATATATATATTAAAAAAAAAAGGGGAGAAAATCATTCAATACGAATTCCTAGAGGGAAATTATTAAACTACAACCTACCCTTAATTTTTGTCTTTAATAGAAGGTAACTTACAGTATTGTTATGTTTTTGGGTATTATTATATTTTTGCATCAAACACCCTAAACGATGCTAACAGGTGGAGCTGAAGTACAAGGTAAGATATCTACTTTGTTATATGTAATATCTTTGTTTGATGTTTATGGGCGAGACAGAAGAAAGCGTGTGCGTGTGTGTGTGTGTGTTTTGTCTAGAGAACTTAACTAGCATACATGATTGAAACAAGAAAGTTTCCTTTGTTTGAAGACCTTAGTTAATTATCCACAGATGAGAGAGGAGTTTCTTGTTTAGAGATCTTATCTAACATTCATAAGTAAGAGAGAAGAGGTTTTTTTGTCTACAGACCTTACTAAGGTCCATAAGTGAGACAAAAGTTTTCTTTTGTTCAAAGATCTCAGATAATGTTTTCAACCATGGAGTGATACATGGTAATTACAGTCATTCAAACTGATGTGGTGACCAAGTTTAAATATTCACTGTTAATTTATTCAGAATTTAAACTCAATTCAAGTATAAATGTAATAGATAAAGAGTTTAAAAATCAGTGCAGCTATGTGTAGATGTTGAAATCCAGCTTCCAAACTAATAAAGCATTTCTTAGCAAAAAATAAAATAAAATCAAATTGTAATCTAAAGACAATTTTCTTTAATAGAGTAGTAAAGCACACAAAAGTTTAGTTCCATACATGTTTATCAAAATCAGGTTTCCATTTTTTTTGCATTAAGCCATTATTAAACTTGTAATTTAAACCAAACGTATGACATATGTATGTACCATATGATAAACTTACAAAATATTTTCAAAGAACATTATTAATAGTTTGAAAACTTAGACTAAAAATAAAGATACACAACGTTTTAATTACTTTAAATTATGAATTCTTTACTTAAATCATACGTTAAGTGTATTAACTGTTACTTTTCTAACATAAGAATTTATAAACTTAAGATTTATATTACTAGCTTTACCTTTAGTAAACACATCAAAGTAAGTAGGTCGACCAACCATCACACCATTAGGTTCAAGTCCAGGTCCAGAGGCAGTCACTTTCTTCGGGTCACCAGCATGACCTTCAACTGTTACAAGGAAGGGACTTTTGGGCACTTCTTTGCCAGCAAAGGTAACTTTCACCTAAATTTAATTTAATGGTTCAATTATAAGTAATCCATCAGCCCTGTGAGAATAGCTACTTCTGTTAGGGGTGATGATACTGTGTGCTTGAAACAATTTACTGGCTGGGCAAGAACCAGGTCTAATTAGCACAACTGGTTCACCACTTACAGTATAATTATCAATACTTTTTTTGTTATTGGATGGTATTACAATAAAAACACTATTTCAAAAGGTTTAAAGTTCTGTATCACAAATGGACTCAAACAGCAGCGTTTCCAGATATTCCTAAACTTCTTTAACAGTTTCTTGCATTTTATGCTTTGACTGAATTAAATTATAAACATAATTCTAAAAGTTTTATTTATCCAAACAATTAAAACAAACATACATAACCCATCAGATTTGTTGTTACTAATATCCTCTACTTGATCGTTAGTTTGTACATAAATTAGGTCTTTAACACAGGATCTCTCCTTCAACCAGAAATGAAGAAGTGGTTTGGGGCAAGAAACAAGAAATTCAGGTAATTGTTTTTTTTTTTGGAGTTGTTGCATGCACCATTAGAAAGTCTAATCTTTTGTATCCAAATATGCAATCCAGGAGATACAAGGTTTTGGTGTGACCTCATCAGCAAAGATCACAGACATAAACTAACTCTTGTTTGATTCTTAACTCAAATTATCTGAATTTTGTTCATTGTCTGTTTGAAGTTGGAGACCTTGTACCTTATATTCTGATCTGGTGGAGAGCTACGATTACTGCTATTACTACTGTTCTCGTTAAACCAAATCTATTTTTGAGAGCTGCCACAACATCTATGAGCTTGATAGACAGTTTCCCTTAATAAACTTATGGAATACCCATCCAGCAATACATATGTAACAAACAAGACACACATACTTAAGGAGTACCCCCACCAACAATACATATGTAACAAACAAGACACACATACTTAAGGAGTACCCCACCAACAACAGATTGTAGTTGCATACAAAGCAACTTCACAGATTGCAAGTCAGACATCACAGAACCTTGTACAAGCAGGCTCTGGTCTGAAAAACATTGAACAACAGGCAAAGAAGGTTCACATAGCAGATCCATCAGTAACACAAGGAGTACTGTTATTAAATTTTGCTGGCGATGTGGCCAGCCATAACTCTGTCAGCTTTTGTCCAATTTGGAAACTTTAAATTGTATTCATCATATCACATTGTATGCTACTTCCCATATAGATTTCACCAAAATCAGATAAATATCTGATTTCTTTACATCCAGTCCTTGTTGTCAGGGGGAGTCTGATTGAGGTAGAGATCCTGTGTTAAAAGTAAAATAATGTGAATTACGAGGAGTCTACAAATTCATTTTCACCCACTGTGTTGTTCATGCTCCAATTTATTATAATATTCATATACTATTAACAAATTAAAACCATAAAATGCTTGATGTGAAATTATGTAAACTTACTCTGTGAGTTCCTTCCATGCTAGCTGTGTAGGTTACAGTGTAAGTTTTGCTACGGTCATTATTATACTTGACTTCAACCTATGCAAGTAATGAACAACAACATTTTATAAATAAATTAAAATCTAAAAAACACAAGAATGCTCCTAAACTCCTTACCACAAACTTTTCTCAATAATAAACCTGATGATTGTTCAAAATAATTTTAAAAATAAAATGTTTACATATTTAAAATGAAGAAAACAAATGACAGAAACTTAATTACCGGATCAGAAATTGTAGCCTTATGCTACCATATCTTAAAAATGTTAACACACTGCACTTCTTTATATTGTTAAGCACAAAGTTACACAATTGGATATCAGGCTGTGTTCATCACTGGTATGATGACCCAGTTTTTAAGAGTTAAAAGCCTTCAGACTTTAAGTGTGGTCATACACTATAATATCTCTTCACACATAACTGAAATTATTTCCATCATAAAAAGGTAACTCATCCAGTATCCCATTTGTTATGTTTAAGTATAATTCTCCTATTTCAAAATACTGGAGTTAAGTTAAAGTGAGTAAACCATCAAAGTTATTCTGATCACGCTTTTTTTTTTTTTTTTAATGTCAGATCACAACAGTAAATTCATATAGAATTAAATAAAGTTAATCAAATCTTTATAAAATATAATGATTATGATGTCAAGAAAAACCACCTGAAGTAAATCTAAAGAAGAAACAGCCAATATTGGCATTAAAAACTTATCTAACGACACAATACAAGTTAATGTATTGACTTCGTTAGGTCATCATCAGGTTACAAATGAGTGAAAAAGTGACCATTATTGATCAATATTATCATCCCCACAGCACATTATCAATAATGGTCACTTTTCCTCTAGCCATTCTTAACCTAAGAATGACCTATGCAGATCAAAACAAGGTTATTTGTATTGTGTTTTAAATGAAAAGTTTTTTTAATACACATATCAACCATCTATGGTATAGAATACAATATTGTTTTCCTATGAAGCTAGCTTGATTCTCAAAAATGCACTTTTTATATAATAGCCAGCCAAATCAGAAAAACAATCTGTATAAATAAGTTACCGAACTTCAATATTTGTACTGCTCCATTTTGTTTATGAAAAATTAAACATACATGTACCGGAAAAAGAAAAGAAAAGAGTAACATTTGAACCACCTAAACACATTTTACACCATTCTAATTACTTAACTATATTCACAAATTATTTTCCAGTGAGTGACAAAATGAAGTACTATGCAAAAAAAAAAAAGAAATATCAAACACAAAATTCAATATACTCACAGGCTCTAACATTCCACTAGGATTTTCTACAAACACTTCAATATCTCCTTTTCCAGCACTGAAAGTTTCCACTGTGAAGTTAGTGGGGGCACCACAAACCACACCAGAGGGTTCAATGCCTGGGCCATAACATCTAATTCTGTTGGGGTTGGTACGAGGTCGAAGAGGAGCCCCTGGTTTGAGTTTAGCATTGGGGTACTGAGAAAGATAGGTCATCATCGAGAGTTCATCTATGTTGGGATTCACCATCTCTTCTGGCTTGATCAGCTGTGAAAACACAAACAAAGGTAAAAATTACCATCAACTAACACTATGTAATTTTATTTAAGATAGTATTTGGTTTTATTTTATTATATATAGATAAATAAATAAGTAATAATTTGTGAAAAATAATTAATGTGTTGAAATTTACTCACAACTATTCAAATAAGTTGATATTCATGAAAACATGATTTTTAATTTAATATCTCACTGACAACATAGTATAGAAATATTTCCCTCTCTTATACTGTCTCATACAGATGCAAAATAAAACTGGTTGGTTTCTACAGAAAGCAATGATCAAGAAAACTTCATAAAAGAAGTTGGTATTGCCTTTCCCTCAGATAGGAAACATTTTATTCACGAAATTAAAAATAACAAAAAAGATAACTAATTGCTATGAGCCTACAATTTTTGTGTCTGTCCAGTAAACATTTCTGCTTGAATCTTAAAAATTGTCTATTATTAGGCTAGACAATATAACTGCTTTAAAGTTGGATGCTTTTTTTATGGCTCAGCAATAAAAACACAGAATAATTCATTATAATAAATAGACAAACCTGTGGTACACCTAACCAATCATCAGCAAGATTCATAGCTTCACTAGCATTGCCCAAAGCATTGTTTGGACTCCAGTCAGACCAATCAGGACACAGTCCTATGGAATAAAATAGAAGCAAACAATAATTAATAATATTGGACAGCCCAGCAGTTAAATTATGTACTCTATTTTATTTTTTTAATGAAGTTTTTAAACTTTCAATTTACTTTGTCTGTTTCTAAATTTGTTTCAAGTTAACATATCCACCAAGTTTAAGATTAGAGTTTTGTTTCAAATATGAAAAAACGATTACCTACTAAAACTGAGTATTCCTGAAAACTAAGATTTTTAGACTGAAAGTATTCTAAATTAGTTTCCCACGGAACATCAATTGGGAAAGGAAAAAAATTAGTTGTTTTGTGACAAAATTAATTTAATAATTAATACCCATATTATATAAATATACACAAACACCAATGTTACCAAAAGCATTATTATTTTTTTTGTTAAATATGGCTACATTACTGAATAAATGCACATGTCAATTCACTTAATAAATTAAATTTTTTACTCCTAATAATAATTTGCAATATACAAATTATCACTGAAATAAAGCAATTCTGGTAAATGGACAAACCGATACATTAGTGTAAACAATACATTCATCAAATGTAATAAAGTCACACTTGACTGCAGGTATTTTTACTTTATAATCCTCTTAATTACACCTTTACAAGTTTCTGATCAGCAACATTTTAGACTTATCTTTCATGTGCCAAAAATCATGATCTTTATTCAGTACCCGTACCATATCTTTGGCTTACATAATCCCAGCTTATATAATGAATTCTGGTATTGAAGGAAAGGAATTTTGAGCATTGATACGTGACAGACAAAAGATAGGTCTGAAATACCATTTTTACACCATTTGACTAAAAATCTCTAAAGAAATAATTAAGAGAAAAATGAAGAACAAGAATTTTACATGTTTAGTGTGATTTTGTCGCTTTTGTTTCAGCTAAAATGCTTTCATGTTTTGTCAGCCTGGTCATTTTACACCATTATAACGCATTCATTGTTAATCATGTCAAAAATAAAAACAAAAAAAAAGACTTCATCTTAATGTAAACTTTAACTGTTAATTTTTTGTGGAAAGCCATTTCAACATTATGAAAAAGTGGAATTTCAGCATTCAATACTTGAGTAGAAAGCAAAAAATGCCAGAAGAGAGAGATTGCTACTGGTGATAAAAGAAGCTACGATGAACAGTAACATTTTAAATAAAAGAATGAAAACATATCCACAATAAATGTAACAGATAAACCTTAAAACATAACTTACGCTCCACTTGAGAGTATCGTAGAAATATTACAGGCATATAAAACACTATCACGTTAAATATTTTGTAACCTACTCCAGACATCAACGAAACCTCAAAAATGTATTAGTTCACTCAAAATTAGAAAATACTGAAAGCACATTAACCCAGCCTAATTACAATAAATGCTGCAACAATCAACCTATTTGCATAACTTACAATTTTATTGATTCATGAACATCAGTAAGGGGACATAAATCAACCTTTTACAGACAACAAGAATATATGCTTGAGATGTAATAAACTACACATTGGCAAAACTTCATGCCGGCTAGAGGATCGCTTCAGTGAACATTTTCAAGAAATCACAACCCTCGAGTACCTAGACATTTTACTCAAATGACTGTTCTCAAGTACTGGTATTCAAACACGGTAGGACCAAAAAAGAAAGACAAACATAAGCTGGTTTTTCAATTAGGTAACAAACAACCTATTGAAACAAACAAATTTTTTTTTTAAATGGTTGTTAAAATCAGTTTGAAGATTGTTTTCCTTATTATTTCTCTTTAGCTTATTTATCTACCATACTGTTTAACTTTTACTATATTATTTATCTACCATACTGTTTAACTTTTACTATATTATTTATCTACCATATATTTTCACATTGTTAAATGCATATTGTTTGTCTTGATTCATACATTTACACAAGAATGGAAGTTCTTAAACATACAACTGTCATTAATTCCATTTCCATATTAAGCCTGAAGAAGGACAGTTTCTTAAAACAAAAACAAACAACTGCACGCAACTTATTAATAAATTTAGGTTTACCTGGTGCCACGGCATCCACTAATGCTCCCACTGCAATTCCATCTTTCCAATCAGTTGTAAAGTTCTGAACTGGAAGATCTGGAAGTTTGCTCTGAATCCAACCTAAAAGTCTCTGTTTGGGAGTAGGTCCACCTTTCTCGCCCAGAAGTATGTTTGCATCTTCGCCCTCCCACATGGGCATGGAAATGGAGTAGTGCAAGATTAGGGTCCATATCAGTCCTAGGATCAGCTTTAACTTACAGTCCACAATATCTGAACTGTCTGGAGGGAGAAAAGTAAGGACAATTTATCAAGTTTTTTTCTCATAACTATTTATTTATAAAATAACAGAAAAAACTCAAACAATATGCATAAAAAATAGAAATTTACTATCTATTTTATTTTCAATTCTGACAATTAAGAGAATAACATCTGACCCATCACTCAAGAAATGTATTACATGTTAATCATTAGATAACATTTGACAGTTTCTGACCAGCTTCACATGTATCAGTTTAACAGAAACTTATTTGACACACATACACAATTACTTATACAAAATAGAGGACTTCCTTTATTTAAAAAGCAAAATAAAATCTTTATTTAACAAAATTTTTAGTAAAGAACACAACAAACTCCCAAGTGAGTTTAAAAGTTACATTGTTTGATTATAAGACAAGCTTAAATTGTATTAAGTTATAAGTAACCAGCTGATAACCTCTAAAGAAAGCAAGGTTGTTGTAATAATTTAAACAAAATCAACTAATGATAACAGAAGAAATCTCAGTATATCAGTTTAAACAAGTTATATGACAGTAAAATATACTTTAAACTAGTTCATAAACACTTCATTTGTTAAAATGCTTTGACTTTTTTTTCTTTTAATTCTAAACACCAACAGTGGTTTAATTAGTTATATAATACTAACCAGGAATCATACCCAAATTAGGAAATCACAGGGTTATATTTTACTCTCAAACATCACAACTTTAAGATACAATCAACTACCTACAATTTTCTTCCACAACTAAACTAGCTTTCTTGTCTGAAGGATAAGTTACTACTACTAGGGAAAGTTACACGTTTTATCCTAACAAATGTACCGAGAAACATTTTTTACAACACAAATTATTTATGTTGATATTTTTTAAACTTTAATAAATGTTTCATATCAATTACGTAAGGTCTGCAAATGTTTTATTAAATTTTTTGATTAACTTTATGATTTTTACATTATCCTGGATGAGAATAGAAAGGAACTTGTCCTGATCAAAACTTCTAGCTCAGAATTTCACTTCCAATTCAAGTATTTTTGTACATAATGTTTGGTTTGATATTTTGTAACTGCCTTGAATGAAAGATGCTAATGATTCTGCACAGTTTTGTGTGTGTGTGTGTGTGTGTGTGTGTGTGTGTGTGTGTGTGTGTGTGTGTGTGTGTGTGTGTGTGTGTGTGTGTGTGTGTATTTGCTGTTATTTTTTTTGCATTTCTCATTCAAGGCAGTTACAAAACTTTACTAAAATGCTAATTATGTCTTTACCAATATCATTAATGTAAATAAAAATAAATAAAGCAAAGGCCCAAGCACTGACTCCTAAAAGTTTGAATAAAGATAAATTTGCTAAACAAATGATAACCTGGTTTTCAATACTAGAAATGCAGTAACATAATAAAAACCTAGGTTTCACATATCAGCAATTTCTCAATCTTCTGACAGAAATAACAACTTTCTATTTAGACATCCTGAGCTAGTTTTTATAAAAGTAAACATGGTTAATTGACAATTTGTTAATCCAAGTCACAGGCAAATCTAGAAACCGGAAAAATCTGATGTGTTTTACTTAGCTGTCTTTCTGTGTCAAAATAGAACTGAATGAAATATAAACATATAAACAACAAAAAACATTAACTAATGGAGTATAAAACTGTATTATAATCCTGTATAACAACTAAAATCTCAACCCTAATATGCAATAAATCACCCAAATATTCCCTCACTTCACAAATTGCAACCACAATCTCATTAAAGGTTAATGACATCTCTTCCCCTAATTATTTTTCTGACCATGAATCATTTCAAGAAGTCTCTCTCTTTCACTATTTCCTTTCATAATGCATACTGTCCTATGTTGTTACAATTTTTATGAATTAGTCTAAACCTGGGATCGGATGAAATTCCAACCCGTGTTTTCGGAACAGCTACTGTGTTTCGTTTCGAATGTCACAACTTCGCAAGTCTTGCTTGAATTCCGTCCGGTCTCAATTTTCATTCTTATATACAAACAAAAAAAGTTTTAAACACATTGAAACACTTCCGATGCAGGTTAGCGACGTAAAAAAAAAGGGCTAGTGAAAAACAGCTTGTATGTGAAAATATATATATACATTTAAGCATGTGAAAATTATCCTGTTGTAAGTGTTTGGTCAACATTTTGCTTTTTTTTTTTCAATTATTCCGAGTTCTTTGTGCTGCTAAGTAAGGCACGTTTACTATGTAGTAATTAATTTAATTACGTTTTACTTCTTGGCCCCTTGATTTTAAAAGTATGTCTCATAATTATACCACCAAATATGTTTGCGGTAAATATTGTACTTTTGAGTTATTCCGGGATCAAAATTAACATTATAATTTCACGGTAATCATCTACATATTTCGAAAAAACAGCAAAAGCTAATGTAACTTCTTCGAGGTTTCGGGCGGAACACCTAAGAAGAAGTGCCTGTTCGGCGATTAGCTTTTAGTTGTTAATAACCTAGATTAGTCATTCCTTATTGATTTCAGAGGAAAACATTTTTCACTTTAAGTTAATCGAACAGAAGTAATAAAAGTTCCAGGGTTGTATAATTATAACAAACAATTTATACTTAATCTAATATCTTAATCATCTATTACAGATATTATTCTATAAAAGAACACCATATCTATTAAAGTTATCTATGACTTTAATTCCGATTAGTAAATGATTCATAAAAAATAGTTACAGATGTTCTTCATGTAAGTTAATAATATAAATAGCGTCTCAGCCACTATAGTGTTTGTCGTATTTCAGCCTGCCTGGTGAGCCCTGATTTTGGGCAAAAGACCTCGTCGCATTGGATACAGCAAGGACAATACAGGCGACATTTTATTAGATTGTTTACTTTCACTCCAAGTTCTTGAAATTCCTTGAACTAACAAATATTTCTGTAGAATATCAAAATTCGTATCGACAGGATTCTTTTCTTTACAATAACGAAACAAAGCACCAATAAACAGTGCAACATCCCAAAAACCATAATAAAAATTCACTTTTATTCATCGACAGAACAAAGTTTAAATTGACTTTTTTCGGGGGGTGAGGGGAGTTACATTAAAAGGTATGCTTATAATTGCGGCTCTTAAGGATTCATTATTTTCTGTTACAAAAGTCTTGGTATATTACCATTTTAATTTAGGATTAATTACTAATCAATAATTTCTGATCAAACCAAGTTGGGCTGAGCACGGTCCAGTGGTAAGTGTCAAACTGTGGATCCAACTTTGGGATCGTGGGTGCTTATAAAGGTGACTTAGTATTCTATTTGGGTAACTCGCAAGTTGGCAGTGGGCGATATTGAGAAACTTTGTTACTTCAAAATTAGAGCCGGCGAACTCGGATATCACTCGAGTAGGTTATTTAGTGAATAAGAAATAAATCATTCCAAGCTACTACAGTAACACTGAACGTAATAGATCAAGTGTGAAGAACTGGGTAATATTCTATCACTCTTTTTCTACAGTCGTGTGTCGCCAGGTGGACTGTGAATCCATGGTTTACGTTCCATTGCTGTAAAGTCACGATTCGTACTCTGAAGCCCAAAAGTGACAGTCGAATTCAACATTTCGATTATAACAGCCCAATAGGTGGTGGCGTGTGCTGTTGTCTGGTTGGCTTCCTCTTTAATTTATCAGTTCAAAATTAAGGACGTGTAGCAAAAATAGCCTTTGTGTAATTTTGTGCGAATGTCCGAAATTAACTTTTTTATTATTATTTCTCTCTGTGAGGGGTGAAGTTGAGTAGGTGTGTAAATAGAATGAATTGTATCCTCACTGTTTGTTCATACACCCACATCAAAATCATATATATAACTCTAGAAGCTACTGTAGACAACAGCGTCTGTTATACCCACGCAAGACCACCTTAATTGAATTCATGTTTGGTGCCTTTTTCTATGTTACCACAACGGTCAACTACATGCATCATTCTTTGTTCTGCTCAACACCCCCTTATTTCGTTCATGCAATAGGTACAGGTAATTTTCCTTGAACACCAGCACCAGGATACCTCGCCACACTTAAAAATGGTTGTATAACACCACTTTAGTTGCCTTACAAGCTATAAAAGTCTACATTCGTGAACATTGAATGTCAAGGCAACATAGGAAATCTTAGTCTGAAACGCCATCTGTTGCCTAAAGTCTGTAGGTTTAATTATGCAAAGAAAAAAAAACGCACGTGAAAATGAAGGGATTTTATAAAGTAGCAAGCCGCATCATAAATTTACACTGAAAAAGATTCAAAGAGTAAATGGCTTTGTAATAAAATCCTCTTTAAAGATGTTGTAATTGCAATAGTATTTACGAAGTGTATCAAATATAAAGATAATACTAATACAAGATATATGTGCACATATTTATATCGAGACGATTTCATACATTTGAATTCGTAAATTATGGAACTTGCTGCATCCTAGAGAACTAATGGGAACGTTTTCTGTTCTGCGACTTACATACTTGCCAATGCAGAAAGTAGTTGTGCTTTCTAAAGACTTTATTTATTAAGCCAATCTGTAGATGTATATGTAAATTATTGAAAATATGAGTTTGTTTTTATATGCTAAATATATGGAGCTAGTCACTGATACATATTATATTATTTAAAACTGCGTGTTACTCCCAGAAGTCGTCAGTGGGAATTGCATCCTTAGGACTAAACTAATAATATATATAAAAACAACAACAACAAAGAAAGTATTTCTGAAGCTAAAGTTACTTTTGTATGTGTGAAGCTACAGAGGCTAGTTATAAGTTACGAAATATTAAGCTATTTCACATGTATTTATAAGCAACATTTGAAGACTAGTGAAGCGGAGAACAGCATAGCTCTGATCCGTCACCGATGTCTCCATTTAAAAATATTATTATTTCAGCAACATTCTCAGTTCCTGCTTTGATACAATGCAAACAACAGACTAGAGGAAACACCAGATAATACTATCAGTGAAAACAGATGGGCAACCACAAAAAGAAGGTTCACAGCTCTG